GGAATGCGTGGTTAAAATTTCAACGAAACGAGATTAATATTTCCTAGTGGATAGCGTTCGGTTAAATTCCCATGCGTTTGGCGCACAGATTCGATTTCATGAAAAAGTCGAGAAAACTTCCGACTCGGGTCCGAAATCCGATGGAATTTCCTAATCATCGTTCCATCATTGCACGCCCATTACCTAGTGCTATGATAAATCACGCGTGAAATTCGAAGTTCCGACGTAAAAGAAAATTCGAACTGACCCCTTAAAATTGGCTGCAGCGATTTTTGTGTTTTTATTTCACTGTGAAATATAAGGAGAAATTAATTATTAGTGACTCTATCGGCTTCACTCGATACTATTTGCCAACTTTTTTAAGAATTTGTTTAACTGATTAAGGACCAAGCAACAATTTATTTCAATTTCTTAAAATTGTGAATAAATGATGATGAAAGAATATTGTAGAAGAGGCAGTAGAATATACTATGTTGAGTGAGCTGTTGTTACGTATTATTCGAATTCAATCGAATACAATCGTAACAAGTAACTTTTCATAAAAATTTTATAGATCTATAACGATGCATTTCTGATACAAAATTTCTGTTGTTTTTATTTCTATTCTATTTCCTGCACTTACATTACTCTGTGCTTTATAGTTTTATATTTTAATCATCAGCATGCTAACATATTTTTGTATTGAAGTGAATTGAATTTTAAAAACAATTCTCTTGTTCTTAATCTCTTGTCTTGGTAAATTAATTTATTAAAAAAAAAAAATTATCTTTCACTGTTTAAAAGTATTCAAACAGAAAACTACGTCGCGTTGAAAGCATCGGCATAAAAAGGATTAAAAACAATCATTAAAAATAGAACCTGCTACCATTTTAAAACAAAACACGACGAAAATACTCATCTTGCTTCAAAGTTGGAAACTCATGAATAATCATACTTCCTCATAAAAGTAGCGACTTTAGTCTCATCCTTAATGAATGGGTCAGAATGACAGACGTGGAATCCTCGCAATATTAAGTAAGCCGCTTATAGCCGCTACGTTATTCCGGAACCGTCACTAGTATTTTAAAGTAATTCAAACAATCGTTTCTTTCATTTTCCCGCGACGCGACTGTTCATAGATTTGCCCCGCGGACATCCGCCAACTTAATTGAAACATTTTTCTATCCCGTAACGTCACGCGACTCGAACGAGATTACTTTTGCCCGCGAGAGAAATATTTACATATTTTCTCGAGAGAGAGAGAGAGATGAAGAGAATTTCTTCACGAAACGAAGAAGAGAAGGTAGAAGAAAAAGAAAAAGAGCGAGACTACGAAGAAAATTTACTTATTTAGGGAAAATTTTTATTCGCGTAAGAGAGGAGCTGCTGCACTCTAATTACATTTTGAAGCTGAATCACTTCTGTCGATGGAATTAGGGGCGTTTAATCCCTGCGCGGAATTTCTTCGGTGCAATCACTTTTACGAAATATCGAGAATATCTGTTTCTGATTTCAGCGTGCTGAACAGAAGTCCAGAGCACTTGATAAAGGAAATTATATTGGTGGATGACTTCAGTGATCATCGTAAGTAATTTTCTTTTCTTTTCTTCTTTTCTAATTTCAACTGAAAATCGTAACACTCTGGAATTAAAAATAAACACACTATTCTCGTAACGTGTTTTTCGTTTCATTTTTAAAATTTTCCACGACTTCTCAAGAACATGAAAATTAGATCGACAAGCCTCCTCAGATACTAGATCTTCCCTCTCGTGGATGATTTTTCCCGAAGCTTGCAACGCGGCGAGTGCATCGAACGCTGTCGTGACAATTCACCTACTTTTTTTGCAGCGGAGGACGGTGAAGAGCTATCGAGGATACACAAAGTGCGAGTGATACGCAACGAAAAGAGGGAGGGCTTGATGAGGTCGAGGGTGCGAGGCGCGGATGCAGCAACCGCCAGCGTGTTAACGTTCCTTGACTCGCATTGTGAATGCAACGCCGACTGGCTGGAGCCCCTTTTAGAGAGGGTGGCTGAGGATCCTACGAGGGTCGTCTGCCCCGTCATTGACGTCATAAGCATGGACACTTTCCAATATATCGGTATTATTATAGCCTCTCAAATTCATCTAACCCTTGCCCGCTGTAAATTTTAACACTCACGAAATACTGTTCAAGTGTCTCAAATCTCTTAAATCACGGTATAGAAACGGACGAATGAATGAGAACTTCTTATACGTTGCTTATAACTTTATATTTAATTACAATAATAAAATATTGTGTATATTTCTAATGTGGGAGCGTGTGGTGCACAGAGTGTTAGAAATATTGTTGTAATTCTGATTTCAAGCAATAATTTACGATTAAAGTGGCACGAGCAATTAAAATATTATTTCTCGATTCTCCATTCTCAATTAATTCGAAGTAATTGAGTAATTTCCTATTCTTCGCTGTACATTCAGTAATCTAAAATACTTCTACTCCCATTTGCTAAAATCTTATCCAAAACATATTCCTGTCTCTTCTAATCGAGATCACATTGTCGTAATTATGCAGGCGCATCGGCCGATCTAAGAGGTGGTTTCGACTGGAGCCTGGTCTTCAAGTGGGAATACCTGAGCCAAACGGAAAGGCAAGCGAGACAAAAGGACCCTACGCAGGCGATTAGAACGCCAATGATCGCCGGTGGCCTGTTCGTAATCAACAAAGCGTACTTCGAGAAACTGGGCAAATACGACACTCAGATGGACGTATGGGGCGGCGAGAATCTCGGTGAGAATGCTCGATCTGTCTGTCGTCTGTAGAAATTTGCCGAACGTAATTCGAGTTCTCGACCATGCCGCTTTCAGAGATATCGTTCCGTGTGTGGCAGTGCGGCGGCAGCCTGGAGATTATTCCGTGTTCGCGCGTCGGCCACGTGTTTCGAAAACGTCACCCGTACTCGTTCCCCGGGGGCAGCGGGAACGTTTTCGCCCGGAACACCAGACGAGCCGCCGAGGTGTGGATGGACGATTACAAACAGTTCTACTACAACGCGGTACCTCTGGCGCGCAACATCCCCTACGGAAAGTGAGTACACGCTCCCTACAGCCAGATTCCCTCGCGTTTACGAAACGCAAAACGTAGAATTTGAAAAAAAAAAAGAAAAATGACGCTACATCTAGCGAAGTGTTCCATACGTTTTTCTCTTTTTTTTATAACTATGTGACGTGAAGTTTTTTTTCTTTTTTTTGAACTTCTTAATTTTAATATAATTCTCGGTTATTTGTCATAACTAAACGTAAAGAAAATTATAGATACTTTGTTAATTCACAATGTTTGATCGAGGTCAGAGCCGAAATTGAAATACGTCGCACAATTAATTTGCCTGCGTCTAACTTAACCAGAAATATGGCGCAATATCGTAAGCCAAGAGGTCGAATAACCCACACCGGATGACTTATACGCACGGGTCCGCGGAACGGCGGACGTGTTGAGCTTCCAAATATCGGCACACAAGAAAAACAGGACAACGAAAGTACGTTGTTCCTCCTCCAGGAGAAACATAAATTACCCGACCGCAACAACGATTCTCGCTACTAAGAACAACATCGATACCTCTCGGAACAACCTCGGTGATCTATTCAGTGGCCAAAGTTTCGCGCGGACGAAGTTTCTCTCGATCGTTTATCAGCGGCTAATTTCCATATTTTCTGATGTAATTTCGTGAAATTAAAAAGTAACTACAACATACGTAAATTATAAGTTACAAGTTAACCAACCATCTTTTCCTACGTAAGTTACATGAATAAGTAACATCAAAACAAAATTGGGATATCTTAACTTAAAAAAAAAAAAAGAAAAAACTACTCTATAACATTCTCTCTAAACTTTCATTTAAACTTCTATTCCTTAATTTATGGTATACAATTTCTGCAAATCACACGCGTCTAATTTCACAGTTAGAACTATGACATCTGCCGACTCATATGCGTGGATGACACGCCAGAAAGAGAGTAAGCCTGTTGTATTACTAACATTACATCTTATTTCTACGCGCGGGAAATCGGCGAGGATCGATTCACGGGCCGAAATATCCGATAGTCGATTTCATTAAAATGCGTCAGCGCACGTGAGCTGTATTAATAAAACCGTTTTCCTTGTTTCAGTATTCAAGACAGGATGGAGCTGAAGCGGAAATTGCATTGCAAGCCCTTCAGCTGGTATCTGAAAAACGTGTATCCCGAGCTGGTTATACCAACGAGCGAGGGTGGCCCCGGTGGATCGTTGAAGCAAGGTACAGCGTGTCTGGACAGTATGGGCCACCTTCTCGATGGGAACGTCGGTCTTTACCCGTGTCACGACACCGGTGGTAACCAAGTGAGTGTACCATGTTCTGCCTTCGTTATTCATTGCGTACCGCTGCACTGTGTTCTGAGTAAACTCGACCACCGCGTGGCTCTCGTAGAAATAACTCTTCGCCATGCGGCTATTATTAATCCGCGTATTCAATTTTACGTTTCAATTATCGCGCCCGAGGATTCCGCGCTGGTAGATTAACGGATCGACCGGACAGCTCGGCCTTGCCAGAGGGCGGTTTCAAAGAGAAAAGAAAATACCCCTTTGACGACTGTTTTTAGATCCCCTTTCGAGACCCTTCGCTTTAATGTATGCAGGTTGAGTTTACGAGGCAGAGGAATTGATACGAAATTATTAGCACAATGCGGATCTCTACGGGAACTTATATTTCTGAGAATATAATTAAGAAAATTAAATAAAATATATCATAAATTTGAATGTTTGAAAAAAATCCGCAGTCCAGTTATTAGATTACATCATGTGATGATTTTTCGACGAAGGAATGTTAATTTCAGTTCTATTAAAAATACTGTTCTCCTTGTAAGAAATATTCTTTGTCAATTAATAAAAACTTGTTTACCCCGGGAAAGTACATTTATCGTTTAATTAATTGACAAAACTCTTCAAAATAAAGAAAAATGTTCCACGTAGAATCGCATAGATACTGAACGTTGAAGAGTTAATTTGAACAGATCCCCCGATTCGTCAAACTTCCAAACATATTCTGTTTAAAACCCATCTAAATAATTTCTTGCAGGAATGGGGCCTGACGAAGGACGGTCTCATCAAGCATCACGATCTCTGCCTCACGCTGCCGGTGTACGCGAAAGGCACGACGCTGTTGATGCAAATCTGCGACGGTAGCGAGAACCAGAAATGGAGGCACCTGGAGGGTGGTTTGATCCGCCATTCGAGGATCCCGGTGTGCGTGGATTCGAGATACCACGCGCAAAGAGGCATCACCGCGGAGAAATGCGACTCGAACGCCGAGACGCAAAGGTGGCATCTTTATAATAACAATCACTAGCTCCCAAGGACCACGAGTGTCTCGTGAAGACCGCGGTGCCGTCGTCACTCACGAAGGACCGAGCGAGTGCAGTATCTGATCAGAAGAGGGAAGGTCGATTTAATCAGGGAGAGCGATCTGATCGATCCGAGATCGAGGTTGCTCAATCGAACTCGACGATGATTTACACGGGGCGTTCGCTGCTCCGTGGCAGAAAGAAAGGAGAAGACCTTCTTGACGAGGCGTGAACGCGAAAAACTATTTGAATTAGAAAGGTGATAGATCGGTCCCATATACTGGTAAATTTAATGATACTGTTTGGAGGGATGTTTGAAAAAAAGATTATGGAGAATGAATTACGGAATTGAATTCCTCTATTTTGAGATTTTAAGACAGAGAAACAGGTTGTCTTCTTTTTTCTGTTTTTTTTTTT